GGCCAATCCCAGAAACACCGGGCTCCTGGCCAATCCCAGAAACACCGGGCTCCTGGCCAAACTCCTCGCTGTCGGAAGGCACCGAAGGCTGCACCAGAGGGGAAGGGCCTGGAGAGGGAGGCCTAGCCATCTCCTCTCCTTCATGTTCAGAGCCTTCCTCCTCTGATGAGAGGGACCCACCGGACGGAGCCACAACAATTCCCTACATACAGAATGTTTCAGACATGACAGCAAGACTACTAGGCCAACGTGACCTCATAGTAGCCCAAAAACCTGCCTCAACTCTCAGATGGACCCTGTCAAAACCTAAGGAACAGACAGAAACAAACCAAAGGTCAGGCATCATATACTGAATCCAGTGGAGCAACTGTGAAAAAAACTATGTGGGCCAAACAGGAAGAAAACTATCAGACTGCACTTCCTGGCTATCAAAAGACATGACCCACTTATCCCTCATGTCCGTCCACAAAGACTCAGAAGGACACAAGTTTGATCTAACCAGGACCACAGTTGTAACCCAAATGAAATCACAGGGAGAAAAAGAATTCTTCAAAACTTGGTTCTCCACCAATGTGTCAATAAACAGACACATTGACATCGACCCAATCTACCAACCGCTGAGAACGAAGGAACTACTTCAATTGCAATCCCGAAGGCAGCATTTTAACAAACAGGCACCCCACCACATAGCAAAAATCACAACCCCTCTCCCCGCAAGAAACCAGACCATGTCCTGACAATAGCCAGCCAACCAAACAATCCAAAATCAGACCATGACTCAGAAACATCCAGACAAATAACAGCCACATCACTTTACATAACACAAGGGCCAGTGCTCTGACAGATGAGCACAATTCAAAGTGCACTGAAGATATCCACCCGAATGGAGACGAAACATTTGCAGCCAAATCGCCAAGCTCAGAGATCAAACCAACAGCCTATCTATTTTAATGCTTTTTGGTGTGTTATCCTCAATGATACTTAAATTACATAGAAAGAGACTGATAGTACCCTTTCCCATTTGGCATAAGTTTTTATGGGCTGCAGCTCACTTCATTGGATGCAGATGGCATTTAGGGTTGCCAGGTCTGCTTCCAAAAAATAGCGGACAAGCAGAGGGGGGGGTTAAGTAGTAAAAAAAGTAGACTGTACAGCTTTAGATTACGTACCATTTCATCATAAAGCTTTTGAATAAAAAAATTGTCCACTATTTTGTGAAAAAAAATAGTGAACATAATGTGAAAAAAGTGGACTGTCCACTCAAATAGTGGACACCTGGCAACCCTAATGGCATTCTATGAGTCTAATAAAGTGATCTGCAACTCACAAAAGTATCTTGTAATAAAAAAATGGAAGAGATGCTACCAAATTCCTATTTTTTCCTACAATAGACTAACCAGACTCTATTCCTACATTGCCTTAAATTATATAGTTCACCCATATGTTCCTTTACTAACAAGTATTCATGGAAAGTATTAAACAGTGGTATTATTTCATGGTTAATTGAAAGCAGGTTTTGCATTGCTTTTATATATTTTGATTGTGATTCAATAGATAACTCTCATAAGCATTTTAAAACAATTGGTGACACAAAGATTTGATGAAAGTACTGTTCACATCAGACCCTGAATGGCAATAATTTAAAAATACCAAATATAGTTCTTGCCAGAATTATATATTTTTCAGAAGTGAAAAAATACCCATACTCTGACTAGGTTTTTAAAGAAATAATCTTTTATGATTAAATCATCAAAGCAACATCCAGCCATTCTGCTACATGAATTTTTATTCAACTTCAGCTTTTATAATGACTTTTTTCAGTTAACAAGAGGGAATTTCAACATATTTATTTTTTGAGCTTTAGATTTTAAAATTCTAAACCGAAGCATAACTTGTTTAAAATTTACAACTAAATTTTGTAGATGTAGAATTTACAATTAAATTTACAGCCACAAGGATCAACGTATTACTTTTGTGTATTCACAACTGTTTTTTTCTCCAAATTCTGATGAAAAAAAATCATTTTTTAAGCTTGATCCCTTCCAATTTATACTGTATGTATGAATGTGTGTGTGTATAATCTCACATATATTTGTGTCAAAGCCTGTTTGTAGATAAGCCAACCCTTGAATTTTTAACCAAAATACTATGAAAAGGTGCCACCTGAAGATAAGCCGACCTCAATTTTTTTCATTTATACTTTCACAATTGACTTATCCGCACATAGCAAGTTATCATGTCATTTTGGTTAAAAAGACAAGGATCATGCTTATCCAGGGATGGGCTTATCTCAGGCATATGTGGCATTGTATGTGGCCAATATACCATGATAGATATTGGTAAAGCTTTCGTTTCCAAACACTGATCTATTTTTCATTGTCAGGTTTAAAAGATTGCCCTTTTAGTCTGCAATTCACAAAAAAACCCCCACAAATGTTATTTCTGAAATGATACTTTAATATATACTGAAATCTAACATTCAAAACTGAAAAGGAAGGAATGTTTAGCATTTCCAGAGAACACAAATAAAATTTAAAGGAGAAATATTTACAGCATACTACTATCCCAGTGAAAAGCAACTTTTAACTGTTTTACTGGCAAAATAACAGGGCTTCGATTCCTCTTGGATTCAAAGTCTTTTAAGCAGCAGCTTTAGCGGAAAGCTCCAATAATTAACAGTGATTCGAAGAGTCATTATTATTTGGAAGTATTTTGTACAAAGGGTTTCTCTTTAAAAAAAATGTGTAGCAAGTTGTAAAAAGACAGTTCAAATGGCAAGGCGATATTGAAAACTCTTCTTGATTCATTTGTGCCTGGATGGGGAAGCATTTCTATGCCTTCTCCTGCTTTCGTCTTTCCTTATATCTTTATACTGGTTTGAATATTGGCTGTTTTCCTCAGACTCTCCGGGACTGGGATAATGGTGAGGCCTCTCTCTGGACTTAGACCTGTCCTTCTTCCCTCTCTGGAGCTTGCTGTCCCCTCTATGGTGCCTGTCCCTCTCTTCATCCTCAGAAAAAGGAGGTCTTCTTTCTTTTCTCTTTTTAGAATGGCCGGTTTTGCTGTCTAAAAGTACATTTTTTTCTCGATTCCTCTCCTTTCCACTCCGGGAATTATTTCTATCGCTGGAATAATCTCTATCATAATATGTTTCGTCTTTTCTACTAGGGCTTTCGTCAGCATTCCTCTCCGAGTTTCTTGCAGCACCGTTTTCCCTCTCAAGCCGCCTCCCTTCTTTCTCCTTTTCGAGTTTCTTCTTCTTATTCTCTTGTTTTCTCTGGGTACCTTTATCCGGATTTTTCTTCTTTTGAGACTTTTTCTTATCTGAAAGAGAGAAAAAAAAACCAGGGCTTTCACTCTAAGATTACATTTTTTAATTTGTCAAACCATGTTGCTTGTGTTCAAAATTCCCAAGATGGGATAGGTAAGAAAAGTCTGATTAATTACTCTCAAGAAATGGAGAAATAATACCAAGGAAAGAGATGCGATATCTCATCATCGACATAACCTGAAATGTTTCCGCTCACCCAGGGAGGCCATATCAGCCATTTCATGGCAAGAATTATTATCAGAAGCTTTTCTGTTTATTTCCCAGGAAATGCCCACCATCTGCATTTCTCTCGAAAATGCCAACTTTCATTTCTTTATTACTGATTTTGAATTTTGACATTTGTTGTGTGTAAAATTCACAGATTAGGAAATACGACCAATGGACCCCAACAACTATAACATCATTCAATTCAATTAAAATCTTGCCATTTTAGTACCATCTGTGTTTTGATTTTCTTCTAAGGTGCAGATATTTTTAAAAAAACAACCTTATTTAACATGAACAAAAAATAATCCTGTCACACCTTCAAAATTTTGTTGTTTCCAATCTCCGGCACAACTACATGGCTTCACATCCATGGCTTAAGACAACTATTTAATGGAAATGGCCTTTTACCCAGAAACATTTACACATAAAACATTTCTATGCTTAGGGTGCTGTTTAACACTGATTCACACTGTTGCACTATAAACAATGTTTTATATGAAAGCTAGAAACCCTACCAGGCAATTTGACATTCCCATTCAGTGAGAAAAGCACGTTTATATAGCAAAGGAATAATGAATAATAAGGATATGCAAGTTCTAAACTGCGTTTAAAAAAATGAGCTATACGATGGCAACTGGGACCAGGACTGCCATCGCTAAGTGATGCTAGAACTTCATGTACCTGCCTCAGTTAGCACCAAAGATCCCAGCAGTCCCGGCTGCCATCATAGTCCCAAGATGCGTAACTTGTTAACTGGAAATAGCAGGAGTCCCAGGTAAGGTGGGCAGAGTGCCCTAGGGGGGGCACAGGAGGTGGAGGAGCTGGGAAAGGTCATGCTAGAATGAAGGGGGGCTGGGGGAAAGAGGATGCCATGCCGAACTACTGAAGGGAGATCAGAGAAGCATGGGACCGACCATGTAAGTAGAGGACAGCCAGGAGAGGC